TGTTCCTGTCACCACCCCACAAGCAAAAATAACTTCAGCCCAGCCTTAAAGGGGAAACATTATTACAGCACACACACAACAAGGCAGGACAAGCACATGCCGCTGCTGAGCCTGAGCAAGGGGCCCATGCACTCGTTCCTGCTCTCTGTCTCAACTAGGTTGGTTTCCACCCCCTTGCCTTGCCCGCCACCAGCTGCGCCGCGGGGCAGCCCCTGCTGCTGCCAGCTGGCTGTGTGGTTCATACAGGGTGCCTGATGTTACACCCTGCCCTACCTGGTCACCCAAACTCTGCCAGCACTCCTCAGGCACCTCTTCATGCTCACGGGTGCAGCTCCATCCTCCCCCTCGTTGTGACAAAAGCAGAAGGACAAGCAGCAATCCCTCCTGCACCCCTCACCCTGCTTTCCCTCCCTCCCTGCTGCTGCTGCTGTGGCTCTCTGGAACCACCGCAAAGCTGTGGCCAGTGGCTGTTGCCCTGTGCATTGGGAGGGCCCTTCCTCCCTGCTCCCCCTCTGCTAGCACAGCTCCTCTGAGCAGGGCAGCTGAGCCCAGCGCAGAGCAGCAGCACCCACACAATCGCAGAGGGACCACAAACTCACAGTTCTCAGGCTCGGGTGCTGCTGCTCTCTGCAGAGCTGCACCAGGGCTCACCCTTTTTCTTTTTGTCGGAAAACATCTCCCTCGCACCACCACGACCTTTGGTGCTGCGCTCTATGAGATGTAAAGCTCACTTTATTTGGCGCTGCCTGCAGCTAGGACTTTGCTCCTCCTGTGCTAAGAGAGAGCAGAGGTTGCTGTTGGCTGCATTACATGGCAGGCAAAGGAAGTAGCAGCTGAGTCCAGATGAGAAGAGGTCAGTTTGTGGGCAGAAGAGGCCAGCACCAAAGGAAAAAGGCAGAAGGACTACTCCACCTGTGCCATGAAGCCTGAGGAGCAATAATTTGGGGGCTACTGTGCTGCTTGGTAAGGGTCAAGCCTCCAGTGAGTGTATAGTAAAGTGGTGCTGGTAGCTGTTTTCAAGTGGGTACGAGCACCACTGTCCCTGCCCCAAACACCAGGCTGCTCTAAACCTCTGGCAGAGCTCATGTGATTCCCCCAGCACTGAGCCCTGGAGGTGCTCCTAACAGACAGTGTGGTTGCTGGAAGCAGGTATTGGCTTCAAGCATCTACTGCAGGGATGGAGCAAATCCCTCCCAGATCCTCACTGGCTGCATCAGGTGGTGGCCAGGCCATTCCTTCCATGCAGTGTCAAGAGTCCCACTCCCAATCCCACACTGCTGCTTGCTAGAGCAGATTCCACTCTCTTTGCATCCCTGCAATAAAACAGCCCCACGGAACCACTTCCGAGAGGCAGCCCAGGGGAAGAGGAGGAAGTGCTGCTACCAGCGGTGGTGAAGCTTCAAACGGTCCTGTGGGGTATGGGTGCGAGATCAAGCCCTGCTTCCCATGGGCTGTGCCCAGCACCTCTGCATGGAGGGGGAGGGAAGTGGGTAGCACCCAGTTCACAGCCTGGAAGTGACTGCTCTCAAAAAAGGAATTGAGAGCTGCTGGGGGACTTCCACCATCCCCACTCCCTGCTCACGGGAGCAGGGGAATCATTGTGGCAAAGCCCTGGGTGACTGAGGGATGACTTACAGGATTGCAAGGGCAGGATTTGACCTGGAAAGGACCCTGGGCAGAGTGCAAAAAAGCTTCTCAGAGGTCAGGAAAGATGAAGGGAAAATGCACTCCTTGGGTTAAAAGGCAGAGGGAAAGCATCAGGAAAGAACTCTTTATTTCCCATAAATACAGCAGATTCTTCGCGCCGGGCGTCTCATCTTAAATGTTTGTTTTCTTCCATTTACAGAATTTTGCACTGAAAATATATACAAGTCTATTCAAGACCCAAACAAGATCTGCAAAGAAAAAAACCCATACAAAACCCTGAAGAGACCAGAAAGGGAAGTAAGACACAGCAGAATCCCAGCATAAAGACCTTGCTTCCCCCTCTCCTCTACTACTTGCTGTGCCCAGCTCCGAGACACCTCACCTTCGCTGTGCTGAGCCAAGAGTGCTAAGCATCCCACTGATCTCCATCTCAGACATGCCTCCTTCTACCTCTGGCAAGGCAATGCAGGGCACAGCTTGCCTCTGTGTTTTACCATCCGGCCCTCTCAAAATCAGCCTAGGGATGGGAAGCAGCTTCCATGGTCTCAAGTCCCATGGGGTTGGGGATTGCTTGGGATGTGCCACTCCCAGTGTCCTCTGTGCCTGCAGATCCTCGCTCTTGTGTCACAGTGATCAGGTGGCTGGGGCGAGCCCCCTCCCCAGCACAGGGAGCCAGGCCTGCCCTCAGCTGCTTTTCCGCCCCCCCCCCCCCATGCCCCAGTGCAGAGATGGGCTGGGCTCTGTCTCTCCCCAGCTCCCAACCCATCACCTACCCACCACAAGAAGACACTGAGGAGCTGGGAAAGCCTCCCTGCCCCGCCAAGCTCTCCAGCCCAGCTGGGGGAAGACTAAGTGCTGCTTCTTCCCTCCATCTGACAGGAGGCTGCAGGGAGACTCAGGCTCCACAGTGTGCCCTTCTCCAGGAGCTGTTCCCAAAGCTCACTGCGATGGACAAAGCACATGGGAAGGGTGTGGGCTTCCCTGCTACAGGGGTTCTGAACTACAGCTGAAGGAGCTGGGAAGGCACAGAGCAAGCCCTTCCCAGCCCCTGCGGTCCCACCATGGGGCCCACCTCCCACCAACAGCTCTGTAAGCAGCTAGAAGGACAGAGATATGTGATGGTCACTCCCCCGACCCTCCTGAAGCAATGGCAGCTGCCTGCTCTCCAGTGCTGGAGATACCTAGTCTCTGTCCAGCCTAGTTTCACACCAGCTCCAGTGTAATCCCACCAGACAGGAAACCACTGGAGCCCAGTTCCAAGGAGGGGCGCAAGGGGGACAGGAGGAAGCACCACAGAGCATGAAGCAGCAGAAGGGCTTGAAGTGCGGAGGGGACAGACAAGGAAAAGGATCTTCCTTTGCTAGGCCTTACCCCGGGCTGAGGCAGGTAAAGCTCCCTGTCCTTGTTCCCCACTGCACCAAAGCGGGAAGGCAGGGTTAGAAGAGAAGCTGGACAGAATGGGGAGGGAGCGTCGCCTTCAGAGGAGCAGGGAAGGCAACTGTTCACACACACGAAGCTTTGTGCTCTGCTCCTAGTCTTGTGGGATGAACATCTCCTGGCATCTCTGCTCTCCTCCTTGAGGCATGCTCCCTCCGGCCCTTGCCCGGCCGTCTGGAGAACGGAGCATGAGCAGCAGCCCCCCACCCACCCTCCCATCTCTTCAGGCTGCTCCAGCCCCACAGGACTGGCTTCCCAAGGAATCTGCAGTGTAGTGCCTACAACATGTGGCCCTAGAGGTTTCCCCAAGACTCTGGTGGGGGAAACTGGTCCACATCCCCAATTTCGTTGTAGGTTTGCTCTCCCATGGTGAAGGTCAGCTTGTACCGTAGCCTCACTTTCTCCTGGAGATGGGGGAGAAAGGATAAGCAATCAGAAGGATGGGAAGAAAGGCATGAAGCACAAAACATTCATTGTCTCTGACACTGCCAAGAGCAGAGGGAACAGGGACACAGTAGGGAGGCTTTGCCTAGGCAGCAAGGCCACAGACTCTGCTCATGCTCCAGGGATGATGCAGTTACCTTCTGTGGGTTAGCGAGCAGCAGGACTTGGGTGATGGCACTGGGGTGGACGATGGGATTGAACGCCGGCAGCTCTGTGCCTGAGGGAGGCTGTAGCTTCACCTTCATTACCTAGGGAGAGAGAAGAGCATCCCCACATTCCTGTGTACCTGGGGACCTTTCACTGTCTAGTTCAAGTCTAGTCAAAGTCTGGTCTAGTCAAAGAGATGATGATGATCTGAAGGCAACACGACTCACTCCCGTTCCCACAAAGCTCTCTCCACCCATCCTGCCTTTCCTGCAGAAGTCTAAACATGCTTCAGACCAGTGTGGGGACCTCAGCCCCGGCAGTTCCCTTACCTTGGGGACGGCAGACTGAAAGACAATGTTGCGGATGGGCTGTGGAGCTGTGCTAAGCATAGAAATCACCACCACAAGCACGTCAGGCCTCTCAGGCACGGCATCCTTAGCGAAGTGGAAGAGGACACGGAAGCCGTGCTGATCATACACTGTCACAGGGAGGATGCTGCCTGTGGGAAAGGCAGGGATGGGCAGCAGTCAGCCAGGAGGGAATTGGCCATACAGCACCTTTCCCCATCACCATTATAGCTCCATACAAGTGAGAGAGAGACCATTTATCCTCAACCTCCACAAAATCCAACAAGCAAGAAGTTTCTTCACATTCTTCCCTTCCAAGTGTGTAGAGTTTGTTCCCCCCTTGCCTGCCCCCCACTTCTGCCCTGGCTCACTCGGTTTGATTGACTCCAGAGGCACAGTGATGTTGGCCAGCGAGATCTCCTGGGGCAGTGCAGCAGCAGGAGGCCGTGGTGGGACTGCAGCACTTCCTGCTGGTGCGATGGCAGCTTTTGGAAGTGCAGCAGGGGCAGGCAGCTCCGAGGTCTGGGAGAGTGTGGGGTTAGCAGAAACACTCTGGAGCACAGGCGGAGCGCTGGGATTGTGGGCCGTAGTGCCAGAGTTGCTCCTGTTCT